AAAATATATTTTCTGCCATTTGTGAATACATAAATACAATATTACCAAATACAGGTAAAAGTGAATCAGAGTGCAAATTTACCCTGAACCAAAATTTACACTCCATTTGCATCGTTTCCAAACGCAGCCTAAACAAATACAACTCCAATTTATCTGAGTGACACAAACAGAATAGTAAACATTGCTCTAATTTCCAAAGACCAACACTGTTCCAGATTTGTTTGCAGAACTTCAGCCTGATAACAAATCTGGCCTAATGTTTCAAAATGTGAACATTCTTTCTACGGAATTGTCAACAAGATTTTAATATTATTAATATTAAGATATGAAAAAAATGGTTTCCTAATTGGGTCAAGTAGGAACGAAGTCTTTACCCCCCAAATAAAGTAGGAACTAGAGAGCTTCTCCACTTGGATCACCTCTTTCTTGCCAAGTGGATAAATCCTGTTACCAATTCAAACAGTCCATCAGATAGGATGCCAACTGAGTTGAATATTTGTTCAATCCGTAGTCCATATTTTTTCACAAGTAATACTAGCCACGCGAAGTTTTAACTTTTCCTAGAATTTATCTAAAATAGTGTTTATTTTGCATGTGGCAGAATATTTTAGGCTGCTTTTGTTCTATAAATTTGTGTGAGACAGAAATTTGAAGACATGTTTGTGTTACAATTCCTAGTCACATAGGAACTCATTGGGGATTGACCTCAATTCCTCAAGTCTTCCTTTATGATCTCAATCAATTAATAGTTTAATACATGTAGCTCTCACACCATTATTCACTATTTAATCTTAAAGCATGAAATATAATCTCCTTAACTGTATATATTTGTGCTCTTACGATGACCGATGAAAGATAGTCTTTTATGAGCCTTGATGCTTTCGAACTTATGACGGTGAAAGTTTCGTAAACCATTTAGGTTGTGTTTGGTTTGATATAACTTCAAACTTGTTTGTCTGGTCATCTTGTGCGGTTTGGTTTGATAGGAAATAAGAGAGAAACAATGTTAGAGATAAACTTGAGAGGAATTTTCTGACAAGTTATTGATCAGGCCAAATGGGGAACTTCTCCACATGATCTATTCTGCATGATGCCAAGTAATATTGGCTATTGAAGGGTTGATTTGAATGTACAACTGGGGAAAGCTCCACTATATGTTTGAGACAACTTCCAAACATGAAGACATGTTTGGGTAGACGGTGCCAACTGACTCAGACGTAGGGTCGTACTGAAAATTTGGGATCAAATCCTCCTGTCATTAGGGTTGGGGTGGTTATAGGTAAGGGTGCAACTTAGTTGGTTGGGTCAGGTTGAAGGTTAAACCAGGCCCAACCCTTAAGGTGCAAACCATAGGCTTGGGCCTGGTACAATCTGAGTCTTGGGCTCAGGTTATGATGGATCTGGCTTAATCAGACTTGGACAAGTTGTTTGGATTTGAAAGAATTTATGAACATATCTTTTTTTATATCTATTTTTTATTAGGTCTTTATAGCCCAGTTTAGGAGTGAAATTGATTAATAAAATGTACAAATTCATTTATGAATGCATATATATATATATATATATATATATATATATATATCCCTAGTTATGATTGGGGTGACGGGCTACCCCAATTAGAAAAAAATATATTATTTGGTTATTGTGAAATTGGACATGTGACTATTAAAATGGGTCCCTATCTGATTCTCCACATGACAGCAATATGTTTCCCTTCAAGATCTACTATGTTCTTATCCATGGACTGTTCATTAAACATGAGACCTTCTGAAATGTCCATCGTTGAATTCTGAAATCTGAATATGGTCTCTAACTGATTGTAACGGAGACAAAGTATTCAGAACCTCAGAGTTTAGGTGAGTCTTTGTGGCAAAAGAAAATTTGGGGAGCTGAGTATCGCAACCCCCGGAAGTATATCACTATTAAAGTAAAGAAGAATCAATAATTGTAGTACTTTAGGTGAATGGCATCCGGCTGCCTTTTTTTCAATTTTTAATAAATTAATCAGACTAGTTGAGTTAATGAAAGCACAGGAGAGTGAATTGGGTTGGACCTTTAAGGCTCCGTTTGGTTCACAGCAATAGGGCTGTGGAATCGGAATTAGAATAAAAATGGATTATTTCGATTCTAACTGTTTGATTGGGAAGAATTGGAATCCATTTTCATTCCTGTTGGAATGACATTCCCCCAATTGAGAGAATGACCATTCCCAATCCTTTCTTTGAAAATGAAATTTCATTCCTATTGATTCTAATTCTCATTCCTATTTTTATCTGAACCAAACAAACTATGAAAATAGATAATTTCGATTCTGATTCTAAAAAATTTCAATTTTAATTCTGATTCTAATTTCAATTCCGACTTTAAACCAAACGAACCCCAACTTCAGTAACATTTTTACACCTAATTCCTTAACCGAAGATGATGATCGTATTAATGTGAGAGGAAGGCAAGTATTATGCAGGAAAAATACACAGGCGAGGAATATCAAATATTAATCACAACTTCATAAGGTACTAATAGAATTGCGAGAGTAGTAGTATAGATAGCGTCATTAGGTAGCAAGGAATTTTGATGTTCCCTTGTGTGGAAACACCGACAAAACCAAGCATTCAATGGAAGAGCTGGAAAGGGAGACAACTGTTTTCATCTCAAAGAAATGGAAAACTTTTTGCAGCTCTCGTTCATCGGCTCTTGGGTTCTTCATTTCTTCTGATTCGTTGCAACTGCTTCTATCACAAACATGCCTGCTGAATATCTCTCTCTGTGGCCACTAATTTGAAGTAAAATTAAGACAAACTATACCTCAACTCCTCTTTAGTATTTCTACAAAACAAGCTAGGGATATTTTAACAAGTACTTTTTTTTTTTATGATTTCCGATTTGAACTCTCAGTTTTCAGATTCTTTTCCGATCGATCTCACGTGCCCAACAATCTCAAAAATGAATAATAGTTATAATTGTTAGATGTAATTAAAAGGAAATACCTCTGATCAAATTAGCTAGGTAACCGACCAACCAATTGCATACATATCTTGTATGGGTTTTCGCACCTTTTCCTCTAAATCAAACAGGCTAAGTGAATTTTAAACAAAAGATTATAACCATTTAGGCTCAGAAAGAGTGGAACCAATAATACACACTATTACATGGCATGAAATACGTTGTAGTACAATTTTTGTAGGTAATACAATCAGCGGAAGTTTTGCCTTTAATCAGGCTTGAATTTTAATTCTTCCACAAACCACACTGGAGAATTGGTGTAGCAGGTAGCAACCAAGGGTGTCAATGCACTGGTTTTGGATTGGACCCCGTACAGTTTAAAATTAATTTGGACGGATTGGATGGACCAACAAGACATTGGATTGGATCAATTCGGTCCAAAATATTTATTAGATTGGATTAGACCTGGTCCGTCCATGACAAATTTATATTGAATTGGGTTGGATTAAACCAATATCTGATCCATTGATATAAGATAAGAATATATGTGTCAATGGACTGGGTTTGGGTTGAAACCAATATAAATCAAAATGAAGTTGAACAGACTGGATGGTCCAGACATTGAATTGGACAGGTCCAAATTGATCCAAAACATTCATAGGATTAGATTGGATCTGGTCCATTTATAATGGACTAACATTGGACTGGATCGGATTGGGCCAAATCCAGTCCAATTGACACCCCTAGAACTAGCAACACCTGGCCAAAGGATCGGCTACAGCATACAGGTTGGTGGTATATCAGTTTATGTATATATGTCAGTGTTAGAGAATAAAACCTATTCAGTGGCCTCACCTAACTAAACTCTTACGTTGATCAAATTCTTGACATGATATTTGACCAAGTAGTTCTAGTGTTCGATCTTCCAATTAATTAAATTTCAGCACAAGATATAAATGATCTTATGCTTGTTCATGCTTTAAGTTTAATAGGCGGGCATGCTAGAGAATAAAAGCTTATTTAGGTGATCTCACCTAAGAGCTTAAGCTTTTGGGTTTAACGGTTTCTTGATGATTGAGAATGATGCTTCGAATTCTCATATTGAGATGATTGAGAATGTAGGAGGTTTATGCATGTTTGGTTATTGTCAATGTAGTTGGTTTCTCTATGAGATTTGTTTTGGGAGTTTTAAATGAGTATTCGTAGGTTATGGGTTTGGAATATATAAACCGGAAAGTATGTATACCGATACGTACCGTGTTTGGATTCTTCATTTTACTTATTCTTGGAAAGTTGCTGTGAAAAGAATACACTGTTATTGGAAAGGGAATTTAAATTTGGCTCTTTCACAGCTTGTGCATGATCATGTAAATCAGTAAATAGCGTAAGAGTTTGTGGTTGCACGTGACACGCGGTATATGTTCTTTTAGCATAAGAATTTTGGAAACAATATGAGGAATGAGGATTTCTAATGCCGGGGCTTTGGGAAAGAAGAAACAAAATGAGGTTCAATCAAGTAGATTTTAAGGGGGTGTTTTTGAATTTGTCAATTCAGCCAAAAAAAATATAAAAATATGTTTTTGAAGTTTATTTTTGTTTTGAAAAGTAAAAATAAATTTTTGCTTCAAAAAATTATACATGTTTTTGATGAAATCATCAAACTAATGTTTTAAAAATAAAACAAAATTTATAATGCAGAAATTATATGATTTATGAAACTTGATATTACATAACCAGATGAAAATATATTCTCTATATCAGAAATTCTAGAACACTTCATTTAAGTTTTGAAACTAAAAAACACATTACCTTCCTAAGGTTGTGCATTTGTTTGACAGAACCCCTGGAGGTAATGCACAACCTTAGGGAGGTGATCACGTGGCTGAGAGAGAGAGAGAGAGAGAGGGAGAGATTCAAGGAGGATGGTGATTTGTTGCTTTTACTTTTAGCCCGTAGAAGAAGAAGAAGAAGGTGCTTCCGAATTGGAAGAATAAGCTAAGGCTTACAAGTGAATGTGATATGCGATATGATAACAAAAGATAATTTTTATCAAAAGAGAAGATGAAACTCTTGTTTTCCATTACTAGAGCAACTGGAGAAGTACATTTACAGTCTGATATAGCTCAAATATAATAATATATAAACCAAGGACATATTCAGCCAAAGCTGATTACAATGACCTTGCAAGAGAATGCTACCTAAAAAGTAGAAAACTATTGCTATTCTAGTGGCGGGTGACAAGGATCACCTCTGCCAACCGCTGTTTTACAACAGAAAAAGTACACTCCTCTCTGTTTGTTGGCTCATTCAAACAAACAGTCAAATAGACCTCCAAAATAGAGGGGACCCACGAATGGAAATCCCACAATTAAAACAAAATGATGAGGGCCATTTTAAAATAAGCCCTCCTCATTTCACCCAATTCTTCCATTCCATCTATATACTATACTCTAACATCCTAACACTTATACTTCATTAGTATAATATTATATCCTACCACCCGGCTGCAGGCTGCAGACTGCAGCAGCTAAATATTGTGGAGAGAGATACTTCGAAATTTGGCTGTAGAGTTTAGGGATGATCTCTGAGAGTCTCTCTAGCGGAACTGGGCTCCGCTAAAGGTCTGGCCAAAGGACCAGCCAGCAGGAGCAACATTGTAAGAGACTACGCTACGCCCATCACTGGTGGTGACCTTGAAAGACAAGCTCTGACCATTGAGATAGGTGTTGCTCTGCCAGTTCTGGCCCCAGTTCCTTGACATTGGTTGCCACCCAGTCCTTGACCCTTTGATCGAAACAGCATGCACATCGCCCGCACCTCCGACGTTGGTTATGAGGACTAGGTTGAAGTATGAATGACCATTGATGGTGAAACGGATGCCTCCCCTCTTCCTGCAGGGCACCCTGCAAACCAAACACCCATTGAATGAAGATCACCGCTTTTAGTTTTAGAAACACACCCCACTAAGTTAAAACTCAAGAACCAACAATGTAAAGAAAAATCAAGCCTATCTTTTTGCATTGGAAAAGAAAGGAATCCATCCCCACCCATAATAAGTGAAAACAGAGCAGAAAGCCACAGCCGAAAGAGTTACAGAGATGAAGACGAAGACACACGCTGACACAAAGAGACAAACAAGAACATTCAAAAAGAAAGGATCTAAAGCATACAAGTTGAAGAGAGCACCAGAACCGCAGGGCTAAAAGCTAGAAAGGGAAGGGAGAACGCCGAGAATCATCAACTAAATAAAGGTAACAACTCCATAACTAGGACTTTAGTTCCAGGGCCAAGAGTACAAGTACTTAAAAACCATCTAATACAGCAATATGTCCACAAAAGGAAATAAATAAAGAGATTTTGGACCCATAATCCAGAGTCCGTAAAAGAGTTTAAGACCAACCACCAAGCACAATCCAGGGTTTAGAAACCAGATTTTGGACCCATAAAAGATAAAACCATATATAAAACATCAAATAGATTTTTCTTTTTCTTTTTCTATGAATGACCATAATCCATTTGTACTCTGCAACAAGATAGTTGAACAAAAAAACAAGATAAAGAGAAAATGAAGTGAAATAAACTAAGAAACGTACCTTCTGTAAGCCACAGGAACAATCCCAGCTCTATATTGAGCAATGTGTTGGAAAACAGGCTGAGAGAGATCAAAATGATGTTGGGGAGGGTTGCACCAACCCCCAGCATTGTTTGGAAGGGCATTGTTGGGTGGGCAGAAGTTAGTGGCTGTAACTACAATGGAGCCTGGGAGGCACCACTTTGGGTCATTAACGCATCTAATCTCAAAACAAGCTCCACAGCTTAACCCATTGTTGAACAGGGCTGTGCTCAGAGCTGCAGTGTTAGTTCCATATCCCTGGCTGTAGAGGTTTCCATAGCCGCAGGCCCCGCCTGCAAACAATAAAAGCGAAACAAGCAAAACAAAAAGAAAATGTCAAATGGTTCTTCTCTACAATGCAACTTAGATGCAAGATAGCAACCAGAAAGAGAAAAGAGAAGGAATCTTGAACATTCTATTTGTAACATACCCATTGTTCCAGAAGCATCACCCCCTCCATAGAAGGTGGCATGAGCATTAATCCACCCTCCACCGTAGCCATACCCATGAACAGATAAGAACATTGAGAGAAAACCCACCAACAGAAGCCCAACTGGAGCCATTTTCCTGCACAGGTGAGTGTGCCTTCAGTACTTTTCTAACTAACTTTTAACACTTGAAAATACAAAGCTGTCACTAAAAAAACAATCCCATTTTGGAACTCTTTTTATTATGGTGTTTCACGAATTTAAAAGGGAAAAAAAAAACACAGAGGAAATGAGGAGGAAGAGATGGTTACATGAACTTTTTGGAAGAGAGATTACGAGAGCAAAAAGAAAGATAGAGGAGGGACAGAGGGTGGGATTGGTGAGAAAAGTTGTGAGGGGGTGAGGGGGAATAAATAGATGCTTGGATGCGGTGCGGGGCTCTCAGCTCACGTCACAATTAACTGGCACTTGGAGCTGTTTGGACCAAAAACCGCCTTCTGAAAGCGGTTTTTAATAATGAAGAGCGGTTTTTTTAGCTCAAAACCGCGTGGTTTTGAACTTCTCTTGTGTGAAAACTGAAAATCCCCCAAGGCCTAAATATATATATATATATATATATATATATCCAGCTATCCAAGTTGGGTAGGCGTATAGTGATTCTGCCTTACTTTCTCTTCTCTCTCTGAGAGTTAAGCTGCCGTGCCCACATGCAAGCATCGACCATTTGCCGCAAATGACCTTTTCTCATTTGTATTTTAGCACATTTCCCCTGTTTCATTTTTAATTTTTTTGTGAAATTTCTCTCCTTTTATTTCTAGCCGTATGTTTAATTATTCTACAGTCGAATAAATCAAATGATATATCTGAAGTTTTCAATTTGTTCTCTTATTGTTTTTTAAATGTAATATTTGCTTTCCTTTGTTCTTGTGAAGCCAGCAAGCTCCCTCACCAATCATGTTGAGACTTTATGGGGAGGGGATTATAATTGTACGTATTTACGGATTTCAATCTGAACTACTACAAAACTAATTTGTTTTGTTGTGTTTCATGAAGCTCTTCCAGAGTTTCACTAACCAATTAACCATGAATAATGAATTCTAATAGCAAGAGGTAATAAACCAGTGAACCACCGTAACTTTAAAAATACAGAAGAAACAACAGGAAAAAGCAAAGCAAGAGAAACTTTGCTTTCATTGTCTAGCCGCTTGTTAGGACTTGGAGCTCTAAAATGTGAAAGAATTGAAGAGGGATTTTTACCCAAATTTCTTTGAAAGAGCAAAAGAGAAAGAACATCACCCGCCACAATAAATTCCAGTTTATGTTATACAGATCATCTGAAGAGAGGAACACCACGTGGGTGATGACACTGGGAGCGGCTTTAAATTTGAAGGAGATAAGAGAAGAGTTCTACTACATTTCAGTTTATTAACCTAAAAGCAGATAGCTGAACCTGCAAATAGCATGGCGTGCGATAGTAAACAAAACGCATGTGCAATAATCCTCCATACTCTCAACTCTCAACTACTTTCTGCTAAAATTGCTTTTCTACATTTTCTATGCTATCCAAACTGGGTTGGGTCCTTGTTCAGCTCTTCTGTTCTTCGATTTTTTTATTATATTACACATACTGCTCATCAATGGGTTAATAACTAACCCCTTTTTAGGTTTAACTGATAGAGAATAAATAAATGATGAGAAGGTAAAGCCATTACAGAAAGGATTTTTTATTCTGAGTTTTACAACGAAGCTCAGTAACTAATTTCAATAACGAAATCACTGGGCCGAGAATCCCGGCATTAGTGTCGCAGTCAACCCATTTAACATCCATATGATAGTTAAAAAAAAATGTTTTTTTTCAAAGAAGTGTTTGTTTGTTGACTTGATTACTTTTAACAAAACAGGGTACCTCTGTCCTCCTCTGTTCATTTTAATATTAAAACTTTTGGTTTTATTTGCACCACTTTTTCGGTGGGTGCATAAATGAAATATCAGTTCTAGAAGCATTTATTTGTTCTAATTAACTATAATAATAAAAAGTTCTCTCTCTCTCTCTCTCGCTCGCTCGCCCTCTTGTTATTTTCAGTTCGTTTATTTTTAATTTGTGTTGTCAATGTTGTCAAAACCAAAAAGGGGAAAAGGAAATTCAAGGGAAAATTCCCACTTGAGGATACTGTTTACCAAATAGCCAGATTTCATTACCAAGGAGACTATGCTGTCTAAATTTTAGAAAGAAAAAGAGATTTATGTAGAAGTGGGTTGTCTTGTAGAAGTGGCATTGAACGTCTGAAGTAAATTTTTTGGTCATTTAAAAGAAACTTGAAGGAAAAAAAAAAGAAGATTATCTGATTACAACCACCGTTTGTCTTGTTTTGTTAAAGTAAGAGAACAAATTCGACTGGAAGATTATTTTCAAATCTTACTTTGTTTTATTGTAAGCTTTTGAGATGAAAACGATTTCAAGCATCTACAGGGTTCGCGTGTAGCAAGTGCACATGCCACCTCCAGGCTCCAACCTGTTTGGTTCCTTTCTCGTACTTCAAACACATTTGGCTTTCTGTATTCAATATTTTCTTTGTGAACGATTTCTCCGAGATTCTTCCAAATTGAATTTAATAAAACAAAACAACCAGAAAGAAGCAGGACTCTATAGTCAATTCAACGATTACAGCTTCCCTCTTCTACTCCTTTAGTCAGTCGGTTCCTTTCGAATTTCAAATGGGTCTTGATATTTTTTGCTTTCATTTTGAAAAATTATTAGGTAGGAGGTAGAGAAACAAATGCTATAATCTATTTGATGATTTTATCTGAAGAAATATTTAAGCTAGTTGCTTATGGAACCGAATGGAATGGCTGCACTAAACCATCTGATTTGAAAGCTACAAAAACTGACCGGTTTTAAATCATCTGATTGAAAGTTGTAGTCCAAGCTCCTACTTGCAGTATGGCAGATTTGTACCAGAGATCTGTCCACAGAGTGCAAAATGAGATGTCTATTTTGCTCTTTGATCCTGTGGATGTTAGTGGAGGAAATCAAAAGGCTGTACTTTTTTAATTGCAAGCAGAGTAACCGAACAAGTGGCTGAGATGTTTTTCTTTTGGAATATTACAGGGATAAGAAAATTTTCTCAATTTTCTCTACCAACAAATTGACCTGAACAAACTAGCAAAATGCAAATGGCCTTTCTCTTTAAAATGACTACAAAAATATGCAAAACAGCGAAAAACCCTATAATTTATATATATAAAAAAAAAGCCAAAAACCCTAAATGGTAAAGCTTTAAACGTTACCATTTACCAAATCATACCCAGAAAAAGAAAATGCCGCCAATGGGTGTCGGTCAGGCTGTGCTGGGGTCCTTGCCGATGGTAACAGTTCATAGAGCCGTGGTAGTCTGGTGTAGCTCCCTCCAGGACAACAGCTAAGGTTGTTTATTCTAAGGTTAAAGTTGTTGGATTGGAATTCACTCAATTCAGCAGAACCTTTTTAGTTGGGGGAGCCATAAATTAGTAGCTTCCCCACATGCCACAAGGCTCGTAGCTATAGGACTATGTAATCTATCATTTGCAGGGCTTCAAAGCAATCGTTTAATCCTAACTTGGTAAGATTAGAAGTTCTAATCCAATGTTTTCAGCCCAACTAGAAGCTAGAGGCCTAGAGCCCACCCTAGCTCATCTGATATTCTTAGCCATAAAATTTCATTTCAAACTCAGGCAATGCCGATTCCGATTGGGTCAAAAATGCATTAGTAAGTGGAAATTAAAATATTCATGTTCTCGGGATGCAAACTGGAATCCATTGGCCAATGAAAAGTCCAAACCCGAAACATCCTGCAGAGACTAAGGATGTTAATTGAAACTTCAGTCAGAGCCTTTGTGATGTAGGATTAGGAGACCCACACCCACTTCCAAGAAAAGCAGAGTAGAATGCAGTGCAGACTGCTACGTAGGCCACACTCTTATCTCTTTGGCTAGCTCTCCTTTGACTGGTCTATTTTATTAATTTAGAACCAGGACAGCCTTTCTACAGTTGCCTTGGAACTTGAATGGCAGATCCAACGTAGGACCACCTTTCTAGGCAGTCATTACATTTACATGCTCTATACCATCCTGGCCACATATCTTGATCAATGTATATCTATGGACCATAATCAGATGGTGAAGTTAATTATCACCAAGCAGGGGAATTTATGGGAAAACAAATTGATTTCTTTTATATAATTTATTCCTTTAACTGCAAATAACCAACTTGTCGTTGGGATACTTACAACGTAACATCCAATAGTTCTCAGTCTCACAGCTTTGTGACATTGTGATCATATTAATTCTCAGCCATTCATCTTTTGATTTCTGATTTCTCTGGTAGCCACTAGTCAGTACCAGTACTGTGGTACAAGATCTATATATTTCTTACTTTTTCAATTTTGTGAGACCTCTTCTTAACTTTTTATTTTGGACATTTACCTTTCTCCCCTTGGAATTTCATTTGTCTTCTGTGTTGTGTGTTATTCTGTTCTCGGAATCTTCAGATAGAGGTTGAGGTGTTGAATGCCAAATTAACCGTGAGTAGCTCTCCTTCTGGTGTAAAGGCAACCCTATTGTAGGTAGCTATGCTACAAATCTATTCTCTTTTTTCCTTTTTTCCTTGTGCAAGTTATTAGATTTGCTACTTTTGAAGTTCATGATTGAAGGGCATAATAGAAAAGAGAACTACAAGAGTATAATAACTCATTATAGCGATAAAGACAAAGGGTTTGTGCTTCTTTATTTTATCCTACTTATTGTTTAGGGTACAAAACAATCCTGCTCTCTCTCTCTTAGTTTGGGGTTTTATAACAAGTGGTAGGATTAGAGAGTTTAATCATGTAATCAATCATAGAGAGGAGGGCTCCAACTCCAAGCAACAAGAGAAATGATTCCTGATTGGACTCACGTGGATAACCCAGTCCATGTGAAGAGAAGTTCCAGATTGGTATGAAATGATGATACCTGGCTCTCACAACTGAGTTTTGACATGGAGAATAAAATCTGGACTCTGGAGACTCTGGAGTACTGCTTTAAAGGAGAAAAAGTAGTGTCGTTACCAAAAGCTTGGATTTTAACGAAGCCCGTGATCAATAGAAGCCTTTGCCTAGAAAAGAGAGAAGTGTTTTTTCTTTTTTGAAAGGATGGGTCTGAGTGACTGACTGCCCAAAGTTGCCTACCCTAAAGAGCTAGCTAGCTACCTTATGGGACGAAGGTCGATGTTGAATCGTTTGTAAAGAATCAAACAACAATACCAAACGCGCTTCTTTTGGGGTGGAGGTGGACGGACCATTCAGCTCAGCAGCACCTTAACCACTCATCAGACTTGGGTAGGCTTTGGAGGATTCTACAACGGGGAAAGAATAAAGATAGGTGA